AAGATAACCCGCTATACTTACAGTGTAACCCGCTACACTTACAGTGTAACCCCCTACACTCAAAGTGTAACACGCTACACTTACAGTATAACTCGCTACACTTACAGGATAACCCGCTACCCTTACAATGTAACCCGCTACACTTGCAGGCTAACCAGCTACACTTATAGTTACAGGCTAACCCGCTACACTTGCAGTGTAACACGCTATACTTACAGGATAACCCACTACACTTGTAGTTTTACCCGTTACACTTACAGGATAACCCACTACACTTACAGGATAACCCGCTATACTTACAGTGTAACACGTTACACTTACAGGATAACCCGCTACACTTTCAATCACAAACATAGATATGTTACAAAACATCCTCTACACTTAACACACTACATTTTCAATCACAAACACAGTCACAAGCTGAAATATGCTACAAACTCACCACTACATTTATAGTCACAATTTGAGATATGTAACAAATTTTAACAATGACCAATTTGAGATACATTCACAGTCACAACTAATTGCAAAAATTGAGATATGTTACAAAACATCCTCACATATATGTTACAAAACATCCTCTCGGGTATTTCAGATACATTCACAGTCACAAAGTTAGTCAAAAGCTAAGAAATGTTACAAAACATACTCACACATATTACAGAACAATTTTAACTTAAATCCAATTTTCCCTCTTCTTTCTTCTTTCTTGTTTTTTCCTTTTCTAGTTGGCTCATTACTCATCTCAGAGGCTCAACGGCTTATACAAGCATCATTAGGAACAATTTTAAGTATATAAACAACTCTCAACATGCAAAAAATAATAAAGAATGTAATAGATATAGTTACAGGCTAACCCGCTACACTTGCAGTGTAACACGCTATACTTACAGGATAACCCACTACACTTGTAGTTTTACCCGTTACACTTACAGGATAACCCACTACACTTACAGGATAACCCGCTATACTTACAGTGTAACACGTTACACTTACAGGATAACCCGCTACACTTTCAATCACAAACATAGATATGTTACAAAACATCCTCTACACTTAACACACTACATTTTCAATCACAAACACAGTCACAAGCTGAAATATGCTACAAACTCACCACTACATTTATAGTCACAATTTGAGATATGTAACAAATTTTAACAATGACCAATTTGAGATACATTCACAGTCACAACTAATTGCAAAAATTGAGATATGTTACAAAACATCCTCACATATATGTTACAAAACATCCTCTCGGGTATTTCAGATACATTCACAGTCACAAAGTTAGTCAAAAGCTAAGAAATGTTACAAAACATACTCACACATATTACAGAACAATTTTAACTTAAATCCAATTTTCCCTCTTCTTTCTTCTTTCTTGTTTTTTCCTTTTCTAGTTGGCTCATTACTCATCTCAGAGGCTCAACGGCTTATACAAGCATCATTAGGAACAATTTTAAGTATATAAACAACTCTCAACATGCAAAAAATAATAAAGAATGTAATAGATAGTTGCAAACTTGGGTTAAAGGCTTTGTTTTTGTTTTCTGTAATGGTTAATTCCTACAAAGCTTCCTGCTCTCTGATTCTCCAAAGCAAAAACCACCAAAGATTCACCATCAAGACTGACAAAAGGGGTTATTCATCCTCATAGTTTCCAACCCGTTCAACAGCCCTCCAATTTTAAAGGATCAGTAAGCTTCAAAGGGCCAAATTCAATATTGAAATTGCCTAAGGGCCTTAAAAGAATAGTAGACGAAATATAAAAGTATAGATGACATCTGATGATTTACAACAATCAACAGGAAAAAAAGGATAGATGGCATCTAGCATCTAAGGAAGTGAGTTTGCGGTGATTATTTATATCCTGAAATTAACTGATACACAGATTAAAAGAATAGTAGACGGAATGTAAAAGTATAGCCGCATACATTAAACATATTGCAATTATGGAAAATATACCTTCAGATAGAAATAAAGCTACGAACGAGCTGTCTTGCACAATCCTTTTGATCTATTAAAATTGCTTGGCCGAATGCGAGGCTAAACATATATGACATCAAGAACACCCTGAAATCTAGGCTACTGCAAGTACAAAAATATGAAGTATAACTATAAAATTTTTCATGGAACCACACTATACAAATGTTGGCATCTTTGTTTTGATGATGTTTAACAAACAATTTACCACTAATGTTATTTGTCTAGTATTTGTGTTTATCAATTTATTATAGACAAACAACATATTGGAGGATGGATAGAATCAAGCATTTACGATCATATCCAATAGAGGTTGGTGGAATAGTGGTTGAAGCCTTGCAATTCAAGTTGAACATCCAAGTTCAAGCTTCATCCGCAAGTGTACCAAGATAGATCTTCATTGAAGATCACAAGCTTGGGTATAATTAGTTTAGGGTTTAGATTATGTGTGTTAGATACTTTAAGCTCAATATCATATACACACACATTTTATTAGTTTCTATGTATATATATATAGTTATGTATATATACACAAGTTTTGGTTTTATAGTTTACAAGTTTATATAAATATGAAACCTATATTATTGTTTACATATATATACATGTTTCATATTTATCATTTTGTTAAATGCATATTGTGCAAAACTTCATTTTTGCATAATATTGAGTTTTTAGTTTATAGACTTAACAACAATAGTTTGTATCTTTTATCAAGTCTATAAAATCAGTTTATAAAGTTTTCAAAACATGGTTTAGTCAAAATGACAAAACAAGTATGTTTCATTTTCATGTTTTGAACCATTTTGTAAAATGAAGAGATTTCTCAAAGGGGAAGTGCTTTTTGAAAACCAGTTTTTGTAACATGTGTATTATCATGTTTACAATCATTTTCCAAAGTTTTATATTTTTCTAATTTTATTTGCTACTTTTAAAAGAGGTTTGAAAATTAGATTTTTGTTTTAAAACAGGCTGATAACTTGTTATCAGTCGACTGGTAAGTCGACTGATGACATCAGTCGACTGATGTGTCGACTGAAGAAATTGCTTGGAATGTCAAAAAAAAAATTTATTTTGGTCGACTGACCAGTCGATTGATGAGGTCATCAATCGACTGATAAGATTGTCAGTCGACTGATGAGCTGGAAAATACCTCTAACGGTCAGCTCATCAGTCGACTGATGAAACCCGTCAGTCGACTGATGCTGTAATGGCTAGTTTTTTCCAGCCTGTTTCAGTTTTGGCTTTTTGGTCTTTTTGCCTTGTTTTCTCTTGGCTTTGGGGTTCCTATAAATACCCCCACATATCCTCAGTTCTATTAACTAAAGAGAAAAGTTTTACAAGGGTTTTAATAGTTTGTTTAGTTTGTTTAAAGGTGTTTAAGCCTTTAGTTTGTGAAGCAATTTTTACAAGAGCAAAGTGGAGATCATTATTTGGTGTTTGAGCAATCACTCTTCTCCCTCTCTCTTGTTATCTATAGAGAAGTTTCCTTAAATTCAATTCTAGCTATTTTATTGTTTTAATTTAATTTCCATAAGCTAGATTTCATATTGATTTTAATTATTTTTATTGAATCTCTTTGTTCACACACAACCATTGAGCTTATTGTATTTACATTCATAGTATAATTTGGGTTGTGAGTTTGTGACTCAAAGTGTGAGCTTACATAGAGTTGTCATCCTTCGTAGAGAACAAACTTTGTTGTATTCGTGCTAAATTGTGAGGTTCACTTTGTATTACACTAGTACACCGAGAGGAGTGTGTGGTGAGAGACTGGATCGTCCCAAGAGGAGTGCGGTAGGTGGTAATGCCTAGAGAGAGATTGTAATTCCTAACACTTAAGAGAGATATGGGAGACCAACACTTGAGGTGGTAGTTAGTGTGTTTACATTGTGAGTGATTGTAAAGTTTTAGGTGAGCTAGAAAACTGAGTGTGAGGTGTAAACATTGTTCGGATGAGCGTAGAAAACCCGATTGTGATAGTGGAGATCTCCTCGAGGTGAGGAGCAGAGACGTAGGTCGTGGGGACCGAACTCCGTAATCATATCTTTTGTTTGTGATTGCATTGACGTACTTATTCTTATATTCATATCTTATATCGCCTTTGTATATTACTCTTCATATTGCCCTATCACATTTGTAGATTATTTATTTTACCATAGTATTAGTTTGTATATCCTTGCATATAATTCACCATATATCTCTTTTCTAGGATATATCCCTTTGCTCATATTGCTTATTCTTGTTCATAACACATTGTATATCTATCTTGCAAGAATAGTTTGTTGAATTAGTTTTAAAGCTTATAAAATCGGATTAGATTAGCATAAGACCCTAATCAACCCCCCCCCGCCCCCCCCCCCCTCCCCCCTCTAGGGTCTAACAATAAATTCTATGTATCGGCAAATACAGCAAAACAACATAGGAATAGGTTGAATACACTCACCCACATTGTTGAGGTACGTCAACACTTTCTACCTCATGACAAGTGCTAATATCCATATAATACTCATCGGGGATGGATGTCATAAGCTTCACTCTAAAATCAATGGCATCGGACATATATCTGCGTAGAGAAGGGTAATGATGAAACCTTCTATCTTTTACAAATAACACCAACGTATGCCAATGAAATGAAGTTAGAAGTGGGAAAATAATCTTATCAAGTGTGAGGAAACGTGTACTAGTTATTGGCTTAAACATGTGTTCGACACTAGACGGATTATTTTCGTTGATGCATCTCTACAAAAAACCAAAGAAAGAATTATTTTTAGTATCAAAGATAATATATGAATAATACTTATAATCTCCAATCAATAATCCACTTGCAGTAACCCATAGGCTGCAGATGTATATGTCCTTTGCATAATTTGGACGCATCTCCATCAACATATTTAGAAGAACAACATAGGAGGCTATAACCTGAAATGCACATAATAAAAAATTGAAGGTTATATGCTACACGTGCATTATGTGAAACATGAGGAAAAAAAGGGAACTTACGTCGCAACTAATTGCTTCTCCTTTAAATAATTCCAATGCATCCTTGCGAGTTACCAAAGCATCACTTGATGACCACACTAACGTCTCCCTACATATGAAAAAACTTACTAAATGTGTTGATGAAAACACAATAAAAGTCATAAAATAGGTCTTTCGATATTCCTTACATTGTCATCTTTTTGTCCTTCCAAAAGTTATCGAGTAGTTCTCGTTCATCATCCCTTACTTCCTTCCCAGATATTTTGGTACACCTTTTCGATTACAAAACGGGACAAAAGGAGAACGTGTAGATAGTCCGGCGAGCCGAGATCTCGATAGAACCGTTCATTTAATGGAAGGGGTTTTACGCTTGCCTTCAATCACCGTAATATCGCATGGGCTAAGCAGAAAGGTGTCATCATCCACTTCAATTGAATCCATGTCTACATCGTCATTAGCACCATCTCCACCATCATCTTTATCTACATTCATTCTATCTACATCTTCATCATCCTCATCCACATCACCACCATCCCCCTCATCTCCTACTCCACCATCACTTTCACCTTCACCTTCGCCTACATCTCTATCATCCTCCTCATTCCTGCCATCCCCATTGCCGCCATCACTATCATCTTCATCATCCCCGTCATCCTCATCTCCGCTATCACTATCGACATCCTCTTGCCTTCCACCGAATATTTCCCTCTTCATCTTCAAGAGAAAGTTTAATTCAACATTTTTTCTTGGATGAGCCAATCCAAATTAGCTTCAGTGATTATCTACATGTAAACAACCCAAGTACAATTACATTCATGAATCAAACCAACGAAAGAATAGATAATTCACCAACATCGAATAATAAGTTCCATTTTAGCAAAAAGCACATTAAATTACTATTTGAACCCACATAATAATTGGAAAAGTAACATTACATACAAATAAACCATTATACCTTTCCCTTGAATTTTGAAGAAGCATCTTCTTTAGTGAAAGTGGCAGCTTCAGCAATCCTCTTTTGAAAATTTAGAGACCTCGAGCCCTTATGATATTGGCTAAAATTATCCGGGTCTCTAACTAAATTCTACAACGCATTCCTCCGTGAAGGTTTTTGACACTTGTAGAAGCTTAGGATGGGTGGTAGGGCTTCAGCTCCTACGCGAAGGCTTAACTTTCCACAAGCTTATAAAACCATATCTGTGAAAAGATGATAATTTTAGTACAACAGTAAATATGACTAAATGAACTAAATATATAAAATGAAAAATGACATAAATATAGAAAAGGTTAACTTACCACCAAAACCGATGCAAAACCCCCTATATAACCAACTCTACATCGATTTCCCTCAGACCTCTTGGTGATGGTCTTTTTAGCCTTAACCATCTCAGTCCTTAACACATTAAACATTGTTTCAGCCTAATTGTACTCATTAAGAGTGTCGAATTTCTCAGCATATCTAAATGCAAACAAAGGGCAACCCATATTAGCTTGAGGGTACAATATAAATCCTATGATGAAAACCATGAGCATCTGTGGCACAAGAGGATCTCTACGCTCAGCCATCTCCTCAATAAGTTCACCCATCCTACCCCTTCTAGCACACACAATCTTCTTCTTTCCCTCGTTACTTTTCTTCTTTCCTCTCCTAGTCCTACACTTCCTATCCTCCACAATTTCTGCCTTCGACCTAAATGATAGCACGAGCTTGTAGATTGTCTCGTGATCGCTTCTATGGAACCTCGTATCTACAATAGATCCTCCCATCGGAAGACCCGTAATTCTCGCAACATCTTGAACACTAAAAGAGGTCCATTTTCCTCTAATTTTGAAGCTATTTTTTTCAACATCAAAGACTTCCAACAAGCAATCCATTAGAACAGATTGAATTGGAATATTAGGAACATCCAAATACTCGAAAGGTGTATCTCGAAGGGATGTCCGATGATCCTCCAACAATGTAGAAGAAATACGATTTTGGAGGAGGTCCCGGAAGTAGCCAACATTTGATGGAATTCTAACCACATCCATGGTGTGTGCTTTTCTGCAACAAAAAAAAATTAAGCCAACGTTAGTATCATATCAATATTATACTTTTTTGAAAATGGGGAAGAACAAGAAAGAGAGTGAGAGAGAAAATTGGTTAAGTGGGGAAAGAGAGAGAGAGGGGTGATTTGGGGTTTTAACCGTGTGGTGTTTTGGGATTTTAACCGTGTGGGTGTACAAATACATATATTTTTCCTATTGTATTTTGTAAGTTGGGCTTAAAGACAAATACAAAAAGATAATTGGGTTTATGGATACAACAAATACGTTGTAGTTGTGATGTTTCCTCCCCTCGTTGGGGGCTATGGTTTCATTGGGTGTGAATTTACTTGACTGTATGAGTAAGTGAATTTTCAAATTAAAATTGAGGGCACACTATTGCAATCTTATACTTACTTAACTCAGGTTCACAATGCACATAGACTGATAGTAGTCAGAGCACTCTCATTGAGATCAAGGCGACGACGAGCTCACGGCGTGGTCACTGCGACAGCGACGGGCAACGGCGAGGTCGAGATCAAGGCGACGGCGAGCTCACGGCATGGTCACTGCGACGACGACGGGCAACGGCGAGGTCGAGATCAAGGCGACGACGAGCTCACGGCGTGGTAACTGCGACGGCGACAGGCGATGGGGCGACGACGAGCTCACGGCGTGGTCACTGCGACGGCGATCTTACGACGACGGCGTCGGCATCGGCGACGGGAAGGGGGATGCAGGTTTTTCAATTAGGGCTGAGAGATGAAATGGGGGAAATGAGGGGAGAGAGAGAGAGAGAGAGAGAGAGAGAGAGAGAGAGGAACTGGGTTTTATATATGGCTATTGAAAGGATATTTTAGGAATTTTACTATGTTTCTGTATAAATACATGTGTTCAGCCTACTGTATTTTGAAAGTTGGGTTTAATGATAAAAACAAAAAAAAATTGGGTGTAGAGATACAACAAATAGTCATTAGGTTTATAGATAAAGTGAAGTAAACAAATGGGGCTATAAATAAAAAGCTCTTATTATTATTGATGCCCATTGGTATTCCAAGGAGTTATAGTACTACTAATTGTAGATGTCTATTGACATTCCCAAATAAATTATCATAAATATGATGTATGTAATATCTCCCTTTCACATGCCTATAAGTAGATGGCATGAGATTGTATTTGTAAGTGAATAAAAAAAGAATTAAAGGATTGAGTACTCATAATCTTCTCTCTATTCTATTTACTCATATTGCTATCCATTAGCTTTATAACAAACTGTGCATAACTATGCTCGAGAACATGTACCTATATATATACTAGTAAAAGGAGCGGAAAGAAATCCTTGTTCATGGGTGCATCATCAAACAGTCACTAGTAGAAAACAGTGCATTGGCGACTGGAAAATCTGTCACCAATGCCTCAAAATCCGTCATCAATACATATTGGTGACGGAAATGGATACGTCGCCAATAAATCCGTCGCCAATAAGTATTGGCGACGGGTTTCCCCGTCGCCAATATTTATTGGCGACAAACGACTATTAGTGACGGATTTCTTTGGCAACCTACGCCTTCCGTCGCCAATGTTTTAAACATTGGCGACAGATTTTTTTGTCGCCAAATTTTAAAACATTAGCGACGGATTTTTTCGTCGCCAATGTTTATCAGCGACGGATTTTTCCGTCGCTAATGTTCATTGACGACGGGGTAATCCGTCGCCAATGTATATATTTACGTAAAAAAAATTATTTTGTAGTATCCTCTCATACGAGAGAATACACATATAACCTGTATCGACATCAATCCAATTACAATATTTAACAATATATCATAAAATCAATCATGATATACATTCACATTCCAAATGAATACTTATTCAATTTCTTCCGTCAATCCACAATATCGAATAATACTCATCATATAATCACAATCACAATACATCTCGCATGCTCAAATAATATTCATTTACTACGCAATAAAATCACAAATATATTACATATATGTAAATTTCAAAAGTCATAATATGTCTTAACACAAGTCTCACTCATTCCTCGTCGTTGTCAGCATCCTTGTTATCAGCATCGTCTGTATTAGAACGTCGTATCGTATTGTTGCTCCCTACTGAAGTACCTCCTCCAACCTGAAAAGATTATCACTCCACATAAGATATATATATATACCAAAAATATCATAATAAATACATATATGTCACGTCATATATACCTCTCCACCACCATGAACTTCATGTTCGTCAAACGCCAACTGAAAGATCTCTAAGTATATCGACTCAGGAAGAATCTCCTTCAACGATGGACAATCACTAAGGCGCTGCACAACATCCCAAGTCGATTGTGCACCTCCTAGCTCGCGCGTAATAATGGGAATAAATTGAAAAAACATGGAGGGTTGAACATTGTCCATTAAATACCGTCCAATTTTAGCCACGACGTACGATGTCTCACATGGTCGCTTTGAGGTCACGGACGAGTCGCTTTGAGGTCACGGACGAGCCGCTTTGTATATTCCTGCTAGTGAAGACTGTCCTAACTTTTGCACTTGATAAAGGCACCCTCCCTTTCTTGATTGGTCTAGAGCCATAAACTCCATCAACAATTTCCCTCCATTGCTCTCTGGTCATGCGATTAGGATCGGTAGGAGTGTTCTCTATGCTCTGAGACTAGGACAAGACAAAGTCTTGTGAAGCTTAAAGCGCCTCCTAAATAACATATAGCAATAGAAATAAATAAATTAGGAATTCTAATTAGAAATACATGTGTGCAAATATGAAATTAAGTTTATACTTACATGCATATCCTTAAGTTTATGATGCAAATATGATATTAAGTTTGTAGAGCCCTTAATGGCCGCTGATGATGAAGCTATCACTTAATTCAGCAAAAACATCAATTGTTCCATGAAATGTCAAAAAGTACATGATGGATAATTAACTACTTTGTTATCACTTCCTGAAATATCTGAAATGGTACACTGATTGAGAAGAAAAAATCTAATATTACAAATGATGTGTGCTTATAAATTTCACTTTTTTAATACTTGGCATATAACCTCTGTTACTTTCACCAAAATGTCTGGATAAGGTTCTCTTCGTTTATAGATTTAGTATTTTACTTAATTATAGACGTGTATTAAGTTAATACTATGCTCATTACGCCAGTAAAAGAAATAGAATCCATCCGGGGACTTAGTTCGCTTTTTTAAGAGAACAAAAAGAAATCTTTTAATTATCTTCTTTCCGGCCCTACTTTTTCAGAGCGTATTAAATATAAAAGCACGCATAAAATGTTCAAAAAGAATTTATTACACTTACTTAGGATAACCCTCTGAGATGAGGTGAGTCGGTGAAGGCTGTTAAATTTTTTAAAACGGCTTGAAATAAGCTTTTATGCGGTAACTTTTTGGTATTAGAAGGAGAGTGACAGAAGAAAATCATCAAAAATTCTCACCTGATATTTTTCCAACACCTCCCAATCCAGTGTAAGATCCTGAGATCCCGGTACTCGTATCCTCGTCTTCATCGTCGTCGTGCATCGTCGCCGGTGAGCCCTAGATCTGAATCCTCATAATGGACGGTCACAAACGGGTTATGTCTTCATATATGGTGGTACTGTAATATCTTGGTGTTCTACCAAGCAAACAATTTCAGCTACATCATCTAATCATGCAGAAATTCTGGCAATTCATGAAGCAAGCTGAGTGTGTCTGGCTCATATCAATAATCCAACACATTCAGAAGACATGTGGGTTGTCCTCTCAAATGGAGGTACCAACAATTTTGTATAAGGATAATACAGCATGTATAGCTCAATTGAAGACGGGATATATCAAAGGTGATAGAACAAAACACACATCTCTAAAGTTCTTCTTTACTCATGATCTTCAAGAGAATGGTGCTATTGATATTCAACAAGTTCGATCTAGTGATAATCTCGCCGATTTACTTTCGAAGGCACTACCTACAAAGAGTTTCGAGGAACTAGTCTACAAAATTGGACTACGACGGTTCAAGGACCTCGAGTGATGATCTTACAAGATAGGGATGTAGACAAAAGGGGGAGCAATTTTGTATTTTTTTCTTTTCATTCTAGCAAAGTATTAGCTCAAATGATGGAACTGAATAATGTACTCTTTTTCCTTCACTAGGGTTTTTCCTATAGGGTTTACCTAGTAAGGTTTTAATGAGGCATATTCTTGGTTGAATAAATGAACATCCAAGGGGGAGTGTTATAATATTATTATTAGGGTTTTTTATTTCTAGCCCCAAATGTTTACTCATCTTTACCTATAAACCCAATCACTATTTGTTGTATATATAAACCCAAATATCTTTTTGTATTTATCTTTAAGCCCAACTTACAAAATACAATACTTGTATGCGTGGGCCCCTCAAAAAAAATTTAATTCCAACTCTACCCTTTGTAGTTTACTAATGTGTTCTTTATTAAGTGGGCCCCTTCAAAAATGTAAAATATTAAAAATTTAGAGAGAGAGAGAGAGGGAGGGAGAGGAACCAGTGTTCCTTTGTTTCTTTGCTATCCCGCGCGGGAGAGGAGAGAAACAGCGGGAAAATAAATCTCGTTCTCTCCCTCCCCCACCCCACCCCCTCCCTTTCTCTCTCTCCATTTCCTAATTAACTCTCTCTCCCATCCATTAATACTACATTCTTCCATTAAATCCATCAATTAATTTTCACCCACTTATCAATCCATCATTAAATTCTCAACTCCATTAATGTGTATGGTGTGATTTTAGTGGATATTCATCACTTTCTTAACAATTGAATGTATAACTTTGCAATTCACTCATCTACGAAGTTTATTGCATTAATTCATCCTCTTATTCATGAATTATTTGACATTGCTATTCATGAAAATTTGTTAAATTTTTTATATTTGACAGTATAACAAATAAAAATTATTTGAAATTGTTATTCATGAATTCATAAAAATTAGTTAAATTTGTTATATTTGATAAAAATGTTAGTTACATCTGTTACTATTCAACCACTCATTAATTTCACATAATTTCACGTTAATTATTTGACATGATTAGTTCACATTAATTTCTCATTATTAATCATGAATTCATAAAAATTAGTTCAATTTGTTATATTTGATGAAATTTTAGTTAAATTTGATTTTATCCGATCACTCATTAATTCACATAATCTTAGATTAATTTCACATAATTTGATTTAGTTGTCTATCTTTGATGAAATTTTCCTTAAATTTGTTTTATTTTTTATGCCAAAAATAGATGGATGAAAAATTGTATTGTGCATTGACGGATTTTAGAGGAAATAATCACTTTTTAAAATTAAATGTCAACGAGAGTTACAATGATTTGGCGGTTGCGGTGCAAAGTCCAATTTCTTGTAATGCAAGCATGATGTAATTGACTTACAAAGTACCCCACACACAAGAAATGTATGTGCGTGTATGTGATGATGATGATGTATCAATAATGTTCAATATACATCGAAGTTACAAGGAGAATGTAGTTGTCATGAATGCTGAGATGGATCGAGAGATATTATTTGGGCAACAATGTAATACTATCCATATAAGGTAATTTACACATTTGACATACATTAATACGTTTACCATCAATTCTAAAGTTCTCAATTTCTTTAAACTCTTGTACAATTTTCTATGCAGGAATCCGTACATCCCTTCTAGTGAAGAACATGTATCTTATTCACAAAATCCTTCTTCTTCACAAAATATGTCTCGGGAAGTTGGGAGCTCTAGTATGATTCCTCTTACATGGCACAATGCAATTAGAAGTGTTGGTCAAGAATTTTCTTAAAGGAACAACCCACTTATCGTCCTATTGATTTTCAGAAGAAGCTTAAAGCAGAATTTGGATTGAACATCCTTTATCATAGGATTTGGTGGGGAAAAGAGCTAGCTCAACGTGAAATGTATGGTGATACTAAATATTCATATGACCAACTCCGATGGTATAAAGATAAAGTTATGAAAACTAATCCGGGATCAATTGTTCACTTAGAGCATGAAGATGGAAGATTTACAAGAGTTTTCGTATCTTATTATGCTTGTTGGAAGGGGTTTATGGAGGGATGCAGGCCAATGTTGTTCTGGATGGTACTCATATTTTTGATAGGTATATAGAGTTCAATCTAATCAAAACTTGCATTAATGTACCATTCTTCATAAATATATTATACTTTCATTCATAATTGCTACCATCCCGGTTATAGGTATAAAGGAACCTTACTCGCCGCAACTGCTCTAAATGAAGATGGGGGAATGTTTCTTGTAGCAATTTGCATATGCGGGACGGAGAATGAGAGTAATTGGGAATGGTTTTTGGAATGCATTCGAGACATTCTCTTCAACAATGAAGATCCGTATACTCCAGATGATGAGCTGGTTTTAATCTCTGATAGGGACAAAGGGCTTCAGAATTCCGTTAAGAAATAATTACCATGGTCGCATCACTCTTATTGTATTCGTCATCTTTTGGCTAATTTTAAGAATAACTTGTCAAAGAAAGGCATTGTACCACCTTTACGAGATGAATGGTGCAAATTATGAAGAGGGCTGCTTATACATACACTACTCGCTCCTATAACAATAAGTGCAACGAGCTACGGAACAAATCTGAGATCGCCTATAATGAATTGTTGCGGATGAGTCCAGAAAATTGGGCTAATAGCTATTTTCCTGGGAAGAGGTTAATATGAAAGTTTACTTACAATTTTAAATGCAAATCATTTAGTTATATATACATCTCTACTTACCATTTATTGACATGCATGTAGATATGGATGGGTGACATCAAACCTAGCGGAGTCATTCAATGCTTGGATCAAAGAAGCTCGTTATTTGCCAATTACCCAAACACTTGATAATATTCGTAAGAAAATGATGAGGATGAGTTTTGAAAGGCGGGAGGCATCCCACAAGTGGACCACAACATTTGTTCCTACTGTGGAAGAGCACCTCATTCAAATCAATGAACAATCACGTTGTCTTTATGTTATTCCTTCTACTACGGGAAGGTATGAGATCTATGATTTTCCCACCGTTGAAATAGATTTGAATGAGCGTACATGCACTTGTCGTGAATGGCAAGTTGTCGGGCTACCTTGCAAACATGCGGCTACGGTAATTCGACAAAATAACAACATACTTTACTCATAATTTTCTCACTACTTTAGTGTGGAAATATACCACAAATGCTACTCCTTTCCTATATACCCAATTCCTTACGATGACAAGCCACATGTAGATGATGAAAATATGGTGATTCGGCTGCCGACAACATCAATTCTTCGTGGAAGACCAAGAACAAAGCGCATTCCTTCAGGATTGAATCCCCATAAAGAGTTAAAATATAGTAGATATCAACAGTATGGTCACAACCGTAGAACATGTTGACAACCTATTGCAGACTAGATATATTGTAAATATGCATGACTTTTGTGTTATAGTTTTGTGAAAGTGGCATACTTTTGAATCAATGTAAGACATGTTTTTAGCATAATTTGCTATGTGTTTGTAATGTGTTTGTTATGTGTTTGTATGATCGAGAGTTATGTGATACTTTTGGATCAATAGAAGGCATGTTTTTCTCTTAATTTTGGATGCAAGATATATGTTTGTGGTTTGGTTTGTCATAAGTCTATCCCGCTACGCTTTCATTCTATCACTATACACTTTCAGCATAACACGCTACACTTACATGATAACACGCTACACTTACAGGATAACCCGCTACACTTGCAGTGTAACCCGCTACACTTACAGACTAACCCGCTACACTTACAGGATAACCCGCTCCACTTACATGATAACACGCTATACTTACAGGATAACCCGCTACACTTGCAGTGTAACCCGCTACACTTACAGTGTAACCTACTACACTTACAGACTAACCCGCTACACTTACAGGATAACCCGCTCCACTTATAGTGTAACACGCTACACTTATATTACAGACTAACCCGCTACACTTACAAGCTAACCAGCTACACTTGTAATATGACCCGCTACCCGCTACACTTACAGGATAACCCGCTCCACTTGCAGTATAAACCGCTACACTTACAGATAACCCGCTACACTTGCAGTGTAACCCGCTACGCTTATAGTGTAACCCGCTACACTTATAGGATAACCCGCTACACTTACAGGATAATCCGCTACACTTGTAATGTAACCCGCTACACTTACACTACAAGATAACCCGCTACACTTACAGTGTAACCCGCTACACTTACAGGATAAACCCGCTACACTTGTAATACAACCCGCTACACTTACAGGCTAACCCGCTACACTTACAGGATAACCCGCCACACTTGCAATGTAACACGCTACACTTACAGTGTAACACGCTACACTTACAGGATAACCCGCTATACTTACAGTTTTACCCGCTATACTTATAGGATAACCCGCTACACTTATAGTGTAACCCGCTACACTTGTAATGTAATACGCTACACTTACAGGATAACCCGCTACACTTGCAGTTTTACGCGCTACACTTACAGGATAACCCGTTACACTTACAGTGTAACCCGCTACATTTACAGAATAACCCGCTACACTTACAGTGTAACACGCTACACTTACAGGATAACCCGCTATACTTACAGGATAATCCACTACACTTTCAATCACAAACATAGATATGTTATAAAACATCCTCTACACTTAACACGCTACATTTTCAATCACAAACACAGTCACAAGCTGAAATATGCTACAAACTCACCACTACATTCACAGTCACAATTTGAGATATGTAACAAATTTTAACAATGACCAATTTAAGATACATTCACAGTCACAACTAATTGCACAAATTGAGATATGTTATAAAACATCCTCACATATATGTTACAAAACATCCTCACACGCATTTCAGATACATTCACAGTCACAAACTTAGTCAAAAGCTGAGAAATGTTACAAAACATACTCACACATATTTCAGATACACATATTACAGAACAATTTTAACTTAAATCTAGTTTTCCCTCTTCTTTATTGTTTTTCCTTTTCTAGCTGGCTCATTACTCGTCTCGGAGGCTCAACGGCTTAAACAAGCATCATTAGGAACAATTTTATGTATATAAACAACTCTCAACATGCAAAGAATAATAAAGAATGTAATAGATAGTTGCAAACTTGGGTTAAAGGCTTTGTTTTTGTTTGCTATAATGGCTAATTCCTACAAAGCTTCCTGCTCTCTGATTCTTCAACGCAAAAACCACCAAAGATTCACCATCAAGACTGCCAAAAGAGGTTATTCATCCTCATAGTTTCCAACCCGTTCAACAGCTCACCAATCTTCGAAGGATCAGTAAGCTTCGAAGGGCCAAATTCAACATTGAAATTGCCCAAGGGCCTTAAAATAATAGTAGACGAAATATAAAAGTATAGATGTCATCTGATGATTTACAACAATCAACAGGAAAAAAAGGATAGATGGCATCTAGCATCCAAGGAAGTGAGCTTGCGGTGATTGTTTATATCCTGAAATCAACCGATACAAGGATTAAAAGAATAGTAGACGGAATGTAAAAGTATAACCGCATACATTAAACATATTACAATTATGAAAAATATACCTTCAGATAGAAATAGAGATACAATACGAGCTCTATGTCTTGCACAATCCTTTTGATCTATTGAAATTGCTTGACCGGATACGAGGCTAAACATATATGACATCAAGAACACCCCGCAATCTAGGCTACTGCAAGTACAAAAATAGGAAGTACAACTATAAAAATTTTCATGGAACCGCACTATATAAATGCTATGTATCGGCAAATACAGCAAAACAGTATAGGATTAGGTTGAATACACTCACCCACGTTGTTGAGGTACATCAACACTTTCTACCTCATGACAAGAGCTAATATCCATATTACACTCATCGGGGATGGATGTCATAAGCTTCACTCTAAAATCAATGGCATCGGACATATATCCGCGTAGAAAAGAGTAATGATGAAACCTTCTATCTTTTATAGATAACACCAACATATGCCAATGAAATGAAGTTAGAAGTGGGAAAATAATCTTATCAAGTGCGAGGAAACGTGTACTAGTTATTGGCTTAAACATGCGTTCGACACTTGACGGATTATTTTCGTTGATGCATATCTACAAAAAACCAAAGAGAGAATTATTTTTAGTATCGAAGATAATATATGAATAATACTTATAATCTCCAATCAAGAATCCACTTACAGTAACCCATGATGTATATGTCCTTTGCATAATTTGGACGCATCTCCATCAACATATTTAGAAGTACAACAGAGGAGGCTATAACCTGAAATGCACATAATAAAAAATTGAAGGTTATATGCTACACGTGCATTGTGTGAAACATGAGGGAAAAAAGGGAACTTATGTCGCAACTAGTTGCTTCTCCTTTAAGTAATTCCAATGCATCTTTACGAGTTACCAAAGCATCACTTGATGACCACACTAACATCTCCCTACATATGAAAAAACTTACTAAATGTGTCAATGAAAACACAATAGAAGTCATAAAATAGGTCTTTCGATATTCCTTACATTGTCATCTTTTTGTCCTTCCAAAAGTTATCAAGTAGTTCTCGTTCATCATCTCTTACTTCCATCCTTCCCGGATATTTTGGTACACCTTTTCGATTACAAAACGGGACAAAAGGAGAACGTGTAGATAGTCCGGCGAGCCGAGATCTCGATAGAACCGTTCATTTAATGGAAGGGGTTTTACGCTTGCCTTCAATCACCGTAATATCGCATGGGCTAAGCAGAAAGGTGTCATCATCCACTTCAATTGAATCCATGTCTACATCGTCATTAGCACCATCTCCACCATCATCATCTCCACTATCATCTTTATCTACATTCATTCTATCTACATCTCCATCATCCTCATCCACATCACCACCATCCCCCTCATCTCCTACTCCATCATCACTTTCACCTTCACCTTCGCCTACATCTCTATCATCCTCCTCATTCCTGCCATCCTCATCGCCGCCATCACTATCATCTTCATCATCCCCGTCATCCTCATCTCCGCTATCACTATCGACATCCTCTTGCCTTCCACCGAATATTTCCCTCTTCATCTTCAAGAGAATGTTTAATTCAACTTTTTTTCATGGATAAGCCGATCCAAATCAGCTTCAGTGATTACCTACATGTGAACAACCCAAGTACAGTTACATTCATGAATCAAACCAACGAAAGCATATATAATTCACCAACATCGAATAATAAGTTTCATTTTAGCAAAAAGCACATTAAATTACTATTTGAACCCACATAATAATAGGAAAAATAACATTACATACAAAAAACCATTATACCTTTCCCTTGAATTTTGAAGAAGCAGTTTCTTTAGTGAAAATGGCAGCTACAGCAATCCTCTTTTGAAATTTTAGAGACCTCGAGCCCTTATGATATTGGCTAAAATTATCCGAGTCTCTAACTAAATTCTACAACGCATTCCTCCGTAAAGGTTTTGGACACTTATAGAAGCTTAGAATGGGTGGTAGGGATTCAGCTCCTACGCGAAGGCTTAACTTTCCCACAAGCTCATAAAACCATATCTGTGAAAAGATGATAATTTTAGTACAACAGTAAATATGACTAAATGAACTAAATATATAAAATGAAAAATGACATAAATATAGAAAATGTTAACTTACCACCAAAACCGATGCAAAGCCCCCCATATAACCACCTCTACATCGATTTCCCTCAGACCTCTTGGTAATGGTCTTTTTAGCATTAACCATCTCAGTCCTTAACACATTAAACACTGCTTCTGTCTAATTATACTCATGAAGAGTGTCCAATTTCTCAGCATATCTAAATGCAAACAAAGGGCAACTCATATTAGCTTGAGGACATAATATAAAGCCTATGATGAAAACCACGAGCATCTGTGGCACAAGAGGATCTCTACGGTCAGTCATCTCCTCAATAAGTTCACCCATCCTACCCCTTCTAGCACACACACAATCTTCTTCTTTTCCTCGTTACTTTTCTTCTTTCCTCTCCTAGTCCTACACTTCCTATCCTCCACAATTTCTGCCTTCGACCTAAATGATAGCACGAGCTTGTAGATTGTCTCGCGATCGCTTCTATGGAACCTCGTATCTACAATAGATCCTCCTATCGGAAGACCCGTAATTCTCGCAACATCTTGAACACTAAAAGATGTCCATTTTCCTCCAATTTTGAAGCTATTTTTTTTAACATCAAAGACTTCCAGCAAGCAATCCACTAGAACAGGTTGAATTGGAATATTAGGAACATTCAAATACCCATCGAAAGGTGTATCTCGAAGAGATGTCCGATGATCCTCTAACAATGTAGAAGAAATACGATTTTGGAGGAGGTCCCGGAAGTAACCAATATTTGATGGAATTCTAACCACATCCATGGTGTGTGCTTTTTTGCAACCAAAAAAAAATTAAGCCAATGTTAGTATCATATCAATATTATACTTTTTTAAAAATGGGGAAGAACAGGAAAGAGAGTGAAAGAGAAAACTGGTTAAGTGGGGGGTGAGAGAGAGAGAGAGGGGTGTTTTGGGGTTTTAACCGTGTGGTGTTTTGGGGTTTTAACCGTGTGGGTGTACAAATACATATGTTTTTCTTATTGTATTTTGTAAGTTGGGCTTAAAGACAAATACAAAAAGATAATTAGGTTTATGGATACAACAAATACGTTGTAGTTGTGATGTTTCCTCCCTCGTTGGGGGCTATGGTTTCATTGGGTGTGAATTTACTTGACAGTATGAGTAAGTGAATTTTCAAATTAAAATTGAGGGCACACTATTGCAATCTTATACTTAACTCAGGTTCACAATGCACAGAGACTGATAGCAATCAGAGCACTCTCATCGAGATCAAGGCGACGACGAGCTCAAAGCGTGGTCACTGCGAGTGAGAGAGAAAACTGGTTAAATGGGGGGGGAGAGAGAGGGGTGTTTTGGGGTTTTAACCGTGCGGTGTTTTGGGGTTTTAGCCGTGTGGGTATACAAATACATATGTTTTTCCTATTGTATTTTGTAAGTTGGGCTTATAAACAAATACAAAAAGATAATTAGGTTTATGGATATAACAAATACATTATAGATAAAATGAAGTAAACAAATAGGGCTAGAAATAAAAAACCCTTATTATTATTGATGTCCATTGGTATTTCAAGGAGTTATAGTAGTACTAATTGTAGATGTCTATTAACATTCCCAAATAAATTCTCATAAATATGATGTATGTAATATCTCCCTTTCACATGCCTATAAGTAGATGGCATGAGATTGTATTTGTAAGTGAATAAAAAGAATTGAAGGATTGAGTGCTCATTATCTTCTCTCTATTCTATTTGCTCATATTGCTATCCATTAGCTTTATAACAAACTGAGCATAACTATGCTCGAGAGCATGTACCTATATATATATTAGTAAAAGGAGTGGAAAGAAATCCTTGTTCATGGGTGCATCGTCAAACACAGTCTCAAAATAACAAATGACGTGTATTAAGTTAATACTATGCTCATTACGCCAGTAAAAGAAATAGAATCCATCCGGGGACTTGGTTCGCTTTTTTAAGAGAACATAAAGAAATCTTTTAATTATCTTCTTTCCGGCCCTACTTTTTCAGAGCGTATTAAATATAAAAGCACGCATAAAATGTTCAAATTTGATGAGGGGAGCCGGAGAAGGATTTTTAAGAGCATCTGTTAAATCTTTTAAAACGGCAGGTCCGGTTTGAAATAAGCTTTTATGCGATAACTTTTCGTATCAGAAGGGAAGTGACAGAAGAAAATCATCAAAAACTCTCACCTGATATTTTTCCAACACCTCCCAATCCAGTGTAAGATCCTGAGATCCTGGTACATCGTCGCTGGTGAGCCCTAGATCTGAATCTTGACGAAGTTCAGCTGCCTACAATTGAAAGAGGCGGCGGCGGCGGCGGCGGCGGCGGCACCAGAGTTAGGGTTTTCGTTCGCGTTTCAGATCTAACCCAAAAATAGGGGAAATTTTACTTTTTGTTCTTCTATCGTCTGGATATAGGTGCCCAAAAATAGGAATTCATGGTACTAAGAAAGGTAAAGGTAAATAAATTAATTGATTGTAGGGTTTTTGGTATTAGGCCCTTCAATCTTCAAAGATCACAAATTTGTGCCTTAAATCTTGACAATGCATATTAGTCCCTTAAATCTTGGAATTGCATATTAGTCCCTCCAATCCTACCGAGTCTTGCGAAATCAACCTTACGTTAGTTTGGTAATGAAAAAACAAAATCGTGATTGGGTTGACTTCAAGCCAAACACTGTTAATTATCACATTACCCCCTCTTCTTAAAAAAAATGTAAAAATCATCTCCTTTAATGTTTCAAACAATGGAGGAGAAGATGATAGATTCCTTAAATGAGAAATTTTGAGTTACGGTATTTTTATGACCATTAAGGAAGAACTCAAGTGAATTTGATTTTTTTTAAAAAAAGAGGGTTTTTGGTTGAAAATATTATGACATGGATTTAGAAAGTTTACAGACGAGTAAAGCCCTAATTTTGCTTCTAATATTTAGATTTGACAGAATATTCTACTCAAATAAATTGTAATTAATCATAGGGATGATTTCGCATGACGTCATATGATTTGAGGGACTAACATGGAATTCCAAGATTTGAGAGACTAATATGAAATTATTAAAGATTTGAGGGATTAATATGTAAAAAAACATGATTGCAATTTATGCGTTGTCGGAGTATTTTTATAACCAAAAAACACTTTTCCCCTCTCTATATACTTCATTGCTAAAAGTGGGTTTCATCCCATTTCCAAGCTCAAAAGCTAGGAAAATGGATTCCAAAGAAAAGTCTCAATTTCGATGAATACTTCTTTATATAAATTTATGTCCCCTCAAACAAAACAAACAAAAATAAGAAGAAGAAGACATTCTATGAAATTATTAACATGGCAGAACTAGACAAGCTCTAAATTGAGAGGATGCTTATCTATTTGAGATTGTTATTCTAGGACAAGTGCCCAATAATCGTACATCCTAGACATTTGATTAAGACTAAAAAAATTTGTGCTAGATATTTAGATAGACTTTTTGAAATTTTTCGATAGAATTCTTCAACAAAATACTGGAGTTTCGGACTACATTTATATTCGTGGACTACGTGAATTAGGATTGTGACAAATTACTTATTGTGTAAATAGAAACTATGACAATATAACTACAAATTTAGTTCGTAAATTAGAAGTTTAGTAAATTGTTAAATCAATAAAGTTAGCTATATAGTTTAGGGTTTTTGAGATATTGGTGCCTCAAATCTTATGCGTTTTGAAAGAAGTCCTCCAAATCCTGATACGTATTTTTAAACAAATCCCTCAAAACCTACAACTTGTCCCAAACTAGTCCAAGTTAGCCTTTTCTGTTAGAAACTAACTCGACTAGGAGTGAAAATAGTCATATGGCGAATACCAAATCGTTGTTCCTCTCACTGCAGGAGAAACGAAAGACAACAAGGAGGAGCTTAAATATTAATTGGTTGAACACTGTTGACTATATCGCTCGTGCATCTAATTAACTAACCATCATCTTCGGTCACAATTTTTTGGGAGAAGTTACTTTCTATAAAGTGAGTACTAATCGAATGATCTTACCAAGACCGATTTTTATGATCGGAAACATTGTATTGAATCACACAATCTCTCTACAAGACTTCTTCATAACTTGCTAAAGAAAACTTTGCGCTCCATTAATGGGCTTTAATGTGATGTTGTAGACTTGCTCACGCTTATTACCAAGTGTTGGGCACCAACTCAAACTCCAAGTCGGATGCGGTTTGAAGGCTAGGCCCAATCCTAGAAGTTTTCTTAGATGTCAAGTTAACTTGGCGGGCAAGTTAGGATTGTATCTTTGATTCTTTATATAACTTCATGAGAATTAGATAGGGTTAGAGATCTATCATGATTAGGAGATTGAGTCTCATCATGATTAGGAATTTAAATCCTATTCTAATTAGGAAATTAGACTAGAGATAGAATTTTGGTTTTCCTATATATATTCTTCTATTGTTGGAGGAAAAACCAAAGAGAGTAGAGAGAAGGAGAGAGACAATATTCTTGTAATCAGGGTTTTAGAGGGTGTAACTAGGTTCAAGGGTATTGTGAGACAGAAGGTTTGTCAGTCTTTGTCCGTGTAAAAGATTATAATTTGGAGGTGATAGTGGATTGATTTTGATCCCGTGGTTTTTCCCTATTGAGGGTTTTCACGTTAAATCTCGTGTAATTCTATTTGCTGCATTTGGTGATTTTTGGGGTTTTTACGATATTTAAAAATCCCAACAAGTGGTATCAGAGCGGGGTTCGACGGTTCATGGAGGTTTGAGCGGTGTGCGATTGGTGAAGGCGTCAATGGTCGAAGCGATGTGATCAACATCAGGGGAAACAAAAAAAGGGTATTGTAGTAGGGAATAATGTAGCGGTGGCGGAAATACTGTTCACGTGGGTGAGAGTTTGCTTACCAACTTTTAAATCAAATCCAACGGTGCAGATTCATTTGTCTTTTGATCGATGATTTGGAGACGAAATTTAGTGATCCAGTAGTCGTTCCTAGGGTTTTTCAACGTGCTGAGTTCGTTTTTTTATGTCGGTTTTAAGAAATTTAATTTCTACAGTGAGTGATTTGAATTTTGATTATGGTTAGAGGATGATGACTTCTTCGGGTCCGAAGTTTGAAATTTCGCTATTCAACGGCAAGACAAATTTTACAGTATGACAGTGCACGGTTCAAGATATTCTTGCGTAGTAGGGTGTTGATCAAGCTTTGAAGGAGAAGAAACCTGAAGGATTGAAGGATGTTGAATGGAGTTCTGTTGATGTTAAATGATCACACAGTCAATTATGTCCAGGATTGGAGAACTTTATTCAGTATTGAAGAAGGGGCTGATTTCTTCCCTGACTTTATGTCTGATTCTTGAGTGCGGTATCTGAAAAATCTGCACAAGTAGAAATTCGTAAGAGGGTGGGGTTTAGTTCCCTCGTTGTACCTCCAACGATCAAGATAATCAGCTGATGAACTTAAGTGGGGTTTGTAAGAATTATGGTAATTCTTGTGTGTGTGCAGTTTTATTTACAAAATCAGAGAATCTCGTTTCGAAAGCATAATTAGGGATCCGACCCAAGTTGAAATAGTACCTGTATTTATACTAAGGTGGCAAGGGTAAATTGGTCACTTTGGCCGAGAGCAGAGAGGCGGTGGCGAAGTATGGGCTGGCGGCCACGTCGGTACTTACTTTACAGGTGTCGGCTAGCGAGTGGAGGGAAGGTCATTTCGGCATTAAATGGGAAGTGACCGTCGACGTGGTGGTACCCACGTGGTCCAATGAGTCATGAAGACCATCTGGGCTAGAGTCATGATGGCACCTGCCAAACATTAAATGCGATGTTTGTTTGGGTCGGGAACAAATTGTATTGTAGAATTCATTATAACTGTTTATCGATTACAATGAATACAAAAGAGTGAGCCTTTATGCTTTGTAAAACTACTCTTTATAACAAAACAAGATTACAAATGCTCCCTAGAAATACACGCAGGAACGTTTATCATTCGTTGCTTGCGTGAGATCTTTACCTGTGCTGGGGGTACGTTAGCCCGTGGACGACCGAATCACAGATTCAAGTTGAATCGTGAAGAAGGCTTAAGGTCGATGTTTTGTTTTAGAAACGAAGACAAAAGTGCATATCTTAGCAAAGTAAGGTAAAACACTCTTCCCAAGATCTAGTCAAAGCTTAGATCTCGAAGAATCACAAGAATTCTGAAAAGGCTTGCACGTGATGAAGACTCTCCTTCCCTCTTACTTAGAAGGCTCAAAATCCTCAAGTCTATGCTTCTCCTT